GATGCATCTTCACCGCAGTTGGGTTAAACCAAAGTACAATTAAACTAGGTCTTTTTAAGCTGGTTAAATTTCATTCCACTCTCTTTGGTTTGTTCTGTCCACCTGAATAATTCTCTATTAAGTGAGCATGTTGCTTACGCTAATTGTGGTTATTTTCGTTAACTGTATTGCGTTTGTAGAATTTTTGAGTAGCTTCTGGACATTTTGTACTTAGCGCGCGTTCGTTGCTAACCAACTTACTTAAATGCTAATTTAGAGAAGTGTTATGTCTGCATAGCCGTAATCTTTAACATATATATTTTGTTTGACAATGTCAATTCAAGTGATTGGCTGTTGTTTGCCATTCCTGGTGTGAGTGCGCTTGATGTGCATGTTGACAAGGTTCGTACTTACTTATGAATGGAAGGATTTTGGTGAGTATTTTCGTTCGTCGCAATCAGCCGACAATTCAGATATGTCGACCAGCTGTCCGGAAAAGCACCAGACGGCCGTTCCGCCCTATTTAGGCTCATCAGTGGTGCGCATCCTTCGCTCCTCTGCGGAGGATCGAACCCATGACTGCTAGTGGCTCTTGCCAACTAGCCCGCAGTTTATGCAACTGCGCCATGGAGGACGGTATCTGACTATCGTGAATTGTTAGCTAAATGCGATATAGCCCGACGCATCCTCCACTGCCATGCAGGCACCTGCCATGCAGATGACAGCGGCCGGCCTTCCGGCGTCAGGACTTCCCGGTTACGGCAGCTATGAATCGACATAACATTTTTTGGAATCCGTACGGGCGAATTAGTATTACTTATGAATGGAAGGATTTTGGTGAGTATTTTTGTTCGTCGCAATCTGGTGCTTTTCCGGACAGCTGGTCGGCATATATGAATTGTCGGCTGATTGCGACGAACAAAAAGGTTCGTACTTGTCTATTACCCACTACCTCGTCCATACTGGCTCCAGGAGACAGTTGGTCGTTACTGAAGGGTGCGGGATGCACGGTCGTTGTGGTCGTGCTAGGCTCGAAGAGTGGTTCCATGCACTCAGTGTGGAGCGGACTACGGTCCAGCCACCGCCTTGTGTGCGCTTGATTTCCCAAATACAGCGTGCTTGTGTTTGCCTGTGAAGGAGTAGGGGCCGGCTCCGTTGATGAAAGCTGGCTTCCATTCACATGCCTCTCGGGTTTACACTGCCTTCGTGATCAGAGCGCGCCATACACGCCGATCAACTGCCTTCGATTCCTATGACCTGCAATCAGGATTAGAATGTGAGAGGTTCATTTTGATCATGTCCCGGCAACGAAGCTTCGGTTTCCCCGCATGCCGTTTCTCAATACTCAGCTGACCATATAATGGCTGATTCGGTATTGGCGCCGAATCCATACGCCACACATGACCGATCCACCTCAGCTGCCTGAGCAAAAGTATGCGGTCCAATGCATACATGCCACTTCGGCGCAGCACTTCCGTGTCTACAACTCTTTTACACCAGCCGATGAGCAGGATCCGCCGCATAAACTATTTAGGAAAGTGCCCCAGATACCTGACGACTTTCCGATACATCTTCCACGTTTCGCTGCTGCTTAGAAGAACGGACAGCACCATATACTTGTATACCATGAGCTTCGTGCCTACAGTAAGCTGGTGGTTGTTCCACACACATTTCTGCAGTTTGCCAAACGCAGCAGCCGCCTTTGATACGCGCATGGGCGGCTCGCTCATCAAATGGAGGTTCGTGGACAGGGGCTTCCAATATAGCAGAATCCCCAGACGGTTACAAAAACGTCAGCACCAATGTGGACTTGTGGCAAGCCCACGTATTCCATTCTAGACGAATGGTGAAAAAGAAAACAAACTTCCTTGTGTTGACCGTGAGTACGAACTTGGCCGCTGCCGAAGGCAAAACACTAGTCAAGTGCTGCAACTCAGCCGTGCTGTACACAAACAACGCAGTCGTTGGCAAACAACTAGTTAGCTAGCTAGAAGTCGTCAGGAAACAAAAGTGTCTAGACAGCTATATCAGCGCCAGTGGAACCGCAAATGCGATTAAAGCCGCGTTTTTGTCAATCTCCGCCACTTATGGCGCCATGTCGACAACACTCTTGCCCTGAGGGTTAGAGTATACAATGTAGCCATAGGTTCGACCCTACTGTACGGTTGTGAAACCTGACCCCTCAGATCAGCAGACGTAAAGAGCCTAGTAACGCTCCACCATGGGTTCCTTCGCAGTTTGACAGAGCGTGAGCAGTGAGCGTATTCGAGGCATTGTTTAAGGAATAAGAAGGGGAAGCGAACCGCTCAGTACCGTTAGTACACGAACCACTTTGATGGCTAGGCCATGTGTTGAGTATGCTAGTCAACCGACTGCCGTGACGTGCGTTGTTTGCGCGCTGGGGGTGTGGTTGGAAAAAGAGGAAGGAAGGTCGACTGACGACATGATCAAGAGGAAAGAAGTTCTTCACTTCGAACTTGGCATCGGCTAGTGTCTCCCGATTGCTGAGTTGGGATCCGATGGACGGTGAAAACGTATGGTTGAATACACTAGCTGACATTGTCAGGAGCCGACCTTACTGGCGTATGCGCTTTGAGTTTCTTTGTCCCTCTCTATGCAGCTTATCTTTCCCCTCGAAGCACGATCTCCCTCAAAGCATATTATGTTACTGAACAGTGTGTTACCTGTTTTTTGCGTTCCGTAATGTTTAGTATGTTGCTTTTCCTTATATCTAATTTTGTTGTATTATGCCATAATAGTTGAAGAGGGTGTCTCACCTTCGGCCAATGTGTGATGATGAGGTTGATGCTCTACACCAAAGACAACATCAAAATCATCCGAGGTTTGTCCAAACATGTACCCTCGTTCGCACACCACTGTGCAGACATACAATTAAGGTTATAAACTTACTCGAATAACCAAGTAGCCACAGTGCCTCGCGGTTCACCATGTCAAACAACGAGTACAATAGCTGGTGTCGCTCTCTGCACTTCTCCTGCAATTGACGAGTTGCGAAGCCCATATCTATGATGCTGCGACCCGAACGGAATCCATATGGCTCTTTCGCCACATTCGATTCCACAATCTGACTGACGAGGCGATTGGACAGGATTTAAGCGGTCCATCACCCCAAACAACTCAGTAAGCTGATACCACGAGGATTCCTGCGACATTGCTTGCTTCCTTTGCCCTTGTACAATGGGAGCAAAAGCTCGTGCTTCAGTTCAAGAGGCATCTCCTCCTCAATCTACACGTATTGCACCAACTGGTGTAGCGCAGTCACCATCGCGGGCCTACCGTATTTCAATAATTCAGGCAGGATCCCGTCGATATCGGCACACTTGCCGTTTCGCAGCTGAGCAACTGCTCTCTCGGTCTCATCCAGTGTCGGTATGTCCGCCGGACTCACCTTCACATCGTGCTGTTTCAAGCCGTGCAATGTAGGTCAATATCTGAACGGTTGCTCAAGACAATCGGTGATTGAGCCAGATCTGCATTATGTACGCAGTCTGTGCAGGTAGAGCCTGAACTATCATCGAGCAACGTCATCAGCATCTGCAACAATTGTCCACACACCACCCAGAAGGAATCAAAGAATTCTTTATGTTGGCGACGTTCGGTGTAGCATTTCGTCCACTATGCATTTTCACTGCGACAGAGCTCTAGAATTAGTCGCCGTCGAAGTTTGGGAGACTGACTCTCCTCTGCATCGGAAGGGTCAACCACATTTGCAGCAAAAGCGGTATGCTTCGCCGACACCAATGCGCCAAGCGTCGCATTGTTCTCATCAAACCATTCGGGACGCTTACAGTTTGCGCGTCCGATGGCTGGCTCGGTAACAGCCGTCTTCTGTCCACAGATGTGGTGCAATGGGGCACCCATTGAAGCAATGGATTCGACACCGCCAATGCGGGTAGCAATCGTCTTTCCAGTTCTATCCTCTACTTAATAGTACCTAAGGAACGAACATTAAATATGCGTTGGTCCACAGCAGGTGAGCAATACATAGACTTGTGAAAATATTTGGACGATTTAGTCCGCACTAACTTGGGAGAAGTGCCACACTCAGCTTCACGCAGTACACCTGTAATGCGAAATTCACGCATGTCACGCTGGAGTACAAAGACAAGGTCGAGCAGATGTGCGTGATCACAGCGTGTGTGCGTCCAAGTAGGAATATCACTTGCACCCAGTGCAAACACTATGTTCCTGACCGTCAAGCTGTGAGTGGCACAGAGAGTAACCGTATCACGGAGAATAGTTGGGTACAAAACTGATCCATCATGCCATCAGGATAACACATGGTGGGAACATTGTGTTAATAAAAGTGGCAAGTATACCTCTTCCAAGTCGCAGATAGAGACTCTTCGGTCGTGAGCTGACTGCAGTCGGCTGTGTCATCAGCTGACCATTTAAGCGGCCGGATAGTGCAAATAAGACCCCGGCACCAGCCTCATGCAGCTTGCCTTCGTCAGTGAGCCGAGTCCCGATGAGTGCAGCTATGTCAATCCGGTAGCGTGTGAGTTCCATCGCGACCAGTACCGTGCGTCGCACGGGTCGCTCACTCGTGTTCCAGTCGAGTAGTGTGCGCACGCTCCAGTACCCGATGTTGAGTGCTTTGCGCGAAAACATATGATTGCTGTGGAAAATTATCGCTTATGTCGTGGATTGCATTGGAGGAAGTAGCAGATTAAGTGAAAAGTGGAAGGAGAGAAAAGGTGCACGGTAAGAAGAAGAGAGGCGTCAGCGTTAGCACGTTTTTGATTTTACAACTCCCCGGATGCAACAGATATGACAAACTCTCTTCCTAGCACCCCTGTGCGAGGGCCGACGCAGCTTGGGAGTATGATATATACATCTAGCAGTTCCTGTAGATAGCACGTTTGCAAATGCTTTAAGCTAACTACGTGTTAGCGGGTACAGAACACAGGAATTAGTAATTCCAATAGGACAGTTGGGAATTAGAAATGACCCAGCGGACAGCAATTGGAAGGTATGCATAAACGAGAGACATTACTTACCAAAAGAGTGTATGATTTCCAGGTACGGGGAAGTTTTGTTCGTTGAATAGACTGAGAGTTAAAGTTGCGTGTCAAGCTACATGTGGTACGCTGCAACCGAAGAAGCCGAAACATCCGTTAGCTGAAATCAAACGGGTGAATATAGTGGAATGGTAATTGAGATGGTCAACAAACTAAGAAGTGAATAGAATGAGAACACGGTACATCAGCAGTGCAAGCTACAGAAATGGGGGATAGGACAGGACAGGATCTGGGGAGGAAACAAGCTTCCGCTTAACGAGCGTTCCGTTGCGTGTGCCAGTAAGCGAAAAAAGGCACTGCGACCTGATAGAACGATCTTGATTCTATAATAGAGGAAAACAGAAACAAGTGCAAGGAAACCAAAAGGTTTTTGTGACATCACGAGATTATTGGCAGTCAACAAATCTCCAGGAAATTTGGGAACAAGGCAAGGCAATGTTGGCTTAGGCTACGCTAAAATTCCTCTAGTTTCGCATCCCGGTAGAGCAGAAGGTTTATTCCAACTAGGTACAACCCGGTTTGCGAGAAACCTGGCTCTTAACTCTAGAATAGATTTATGCTGCTTCAATTTCATGCAATGGCCCCGCAAGTTGTCTGATGTAGCTGGTTCAAACAGATCGGTGACTCTGAGACCACTGGAACTTCATGGTTCTGTACCTCTATTAAATCACCTCACAATCTGCGTCAGCAGTACGCCGGTACGTTGTACCCAACGTCCTCGGTTAGCACGAGTGACCGATAAGTGACCGAAGTACGTCCGATGGGTGACCGAAAAGGTGCCGCGCGGGACAATTCTCGGCAACCTATCGGGCACTCGGAAAAATATTTGGAAGTATAAGCCCGCTTGCTCTCATATATTTTCCCAAATTGGTCCTTACGTTAACGCGCCACTATCCCCTTTTTCCCTGCTAAGTGCTGTGGCGCTTGGCAATTACTACGCATTTTTCGGCAAGTTATTGGCCGTTCAGGAAAAAGCCAGCAGTATAACCGCGTTCGCTCTTATAGATTCACCCAAATTTCCCCCTACGTTAACGCAACACCGTCCCCTTTTCCCCTTCTAAATACAGACACGCTTGGCGATTTACTGTACTCAGTTTCGCGGAAAATACACATTTGTACATAAAGTATATATTACATATTTACGGAGAATACAGTGGCTATTTCACTTGGCAAACCACCATCGTGCTTTCACTTGTCGGATTCATTACAGGACTCCTTGCATCCACCATAACTGTAAGGTGAAATAGAATCGGTAAGTGGAAATCAGGTAGGGTCAGTTCTTGAGGATGATACAGGCTTTCGCTTAACGAGCGTCCGACTTCTTGTACCGGTAAGTGAACCAAACCCCAGCACTTGGACGTTACAACGATTCTCCGTGTAACTGCGAAAAAAAGAAAAGAGTACGAGAGCAATTTGGAACTCTTGTTTTAGTAAAATTACAGCAATTCAGGAAAAAGATCTGGGCAATATTCATCTGAGCCACGTTTGAAGGCTTCTACAGTTTCACATTGCATTTAATCAGGAGAAAGCCTATTCTAACTGCTCACGACACGGTTCGTGCAGAATTTCCCCCTGATGTTCAGCCGAGACCTCTGTTGTTTGAGCATAATCCGATATCCACGCAAGTGGTCGGACCTAACCAGCTCAAACAAATCTGTAGGATTGATCCCACTGAGGCCCCTCAATTAGACTACCTCTCAGTCTGCGTCTTTCCATAGAAAACAACCCTAAGCTTATTAAAACGGTCTTCATAAGTCTTTCCACGCTGAACTATCATTTTGGTCGCCAGTTCTTGGATCTTCTCAATACATATGGAGTCACTAGGTAAATAAAACGTCCGTCTGAACACAATACGGTGGATGCGGTCTACCCAGTGCTGTATACAATAGGAGGAAAACATCTGGTTTGTTGTTACACAACATTCGCCTGAGACGAAATAACTCTCGTCGCGCCTTGTTAGCAGCATGGCGACACTGTGCGGAGGGTTTGAAATTGTTTACCATGATGATTCCAAGATCACGTGCTTGGCTAGTAGTCTGCAGTGTCAGGGACCCCGAGGAAGTCTGAACTGTAAGTTCATCGTTCCTAGCGGTCAATAACTGACATTTATTAGTAGTTAGAGGTAAGTCCCATTGATTTGACCAGCTGACTACCGTGGCGGTATCAGTAGAAAGGTTTTCACGATTACCCTTGCTGACTAACTTCAAGTCGTCAGCAAAAATGTAGCAGGGTTTTTAAATCAGATGTTAGGTCATTAATAAACATAAGGTATAGTACTGAGACTTGCGGGACGCTACCATAAGCCCTATCCACACTAGAACTCGTATCATCGATTTTGACACAAAAACTTCCACGTAAAAATTCTGAAAGCCAATTTAACAATTGGGAGTGCATCCCGAACCATGTCAATTGCTCGAGTAAGAATCAATGGTTCAGTGAATCAGAAGCCTTACTAAAGTCCAGATAACACACTTCTATGGAGACATTGAGTAATCTTATCCAGAAAACACAATAAGTTAGTAAAGCAAGAGTTTCTTCTGATGAAACCATTCTGTTCGGCTCCAATTAGGTTGAGCTCGACCAAGTACTTACAGACCCGATTCCTTATGAGCTTTTCCAAGCATTTAAGCAAGACGCTGATCAAGCTCAGAGGCCTATAGTTGAGAGGAGCCGATTTAGACCTCCTTATGTATGTATGTATGTAAGCTCAACAGTCTATCAGCTAGACACGGAGCGCCTTTCAGTCTCGTGGTAGCTTGTCTACCTGAAGTGACATTGAACAATTCCATAACTAGATGCTGGAAAATATCCGCTAGTGGCTTCACGATAGCGGCATGTACATTATCAGGACCAGTCGATTTATAGGGGTTCAAGATAGGCAAAACTGGGAATACCTCCGGGACAGTAATAGCGATGTCTCGCATTGTATGTGCACTTGAGCAGTGGGGTTGCGATGGCACGAGATACCTATTGTCGCTACGGTGTAAATTCTGGAAGACGCTACAGCACTTCCGCTTTATCGACGTCTTCTATAGCCTGATTACCATCTTCCATAGTCAGATAACCGACCGCCTCCCTTAGGGAAACTTTCGACTGAACGTAACTGTAATAACACTTTGGATTCGTTTATGTTAGTTGGGCTAGCATCAGCTCATATGAGTATTTGGCCTGAGGTTACAATTTAATGTCCAAGTGTCTACTTCTTTCGTACTGCAGCCAACGTCGAAAACCACGGGACTTGTGGAAAACTTTCCAATTAGCATTGCCTCGTTTAAGCGCTCTATCGATTCTCCTCCTCCACCATCGTGGCTTGTTTAGACGCCATCTAGGATGAAGGGGAGTGAACCTATCCAACAGTTGCACGAGACCGATTTTAAACGTTAAACATCTTACTTCCAAGGAATCATGTTCCTGATCCGGGATCCAAGAAACCTGAAGGGCTCTCTCCCACAATTTTATATAACCAAGTCGACGAAAGCTCCTCACAAGTAAAGAATGCTTTGCAAGTTTGGGTGCGTTTAGAGAGAATGTAAGAACGCAGTGACCGCTCATACGTATAGATGGCTCAACGCAGAAATCTGCTACGCGACCATGCTTGTGATAAAGACATCTAGGGTTGAAGCGTTATTTCCTATACGAACCCTCGTTGGGCAATTTACGTATTGCTCAAATGCGTATTCATGTGCCCATTTTATTAACTTTTTCTCCAAACTGTTTGCTTCACTGAGTGCATGACGCCCACCAAAAAATTTGGCGCTGCGCCCGCCGCGTGCCATAATAACGATCCAAGTTGATTGTCCACTTTTCGTGAGGAAGTTGGACTGCGGTAGACACATACCGTGATTTTCAGTCTACCAGCTACTCTTAAGAAACGAGAGCAACTGAACGTTTACAGTGCTCATGTGATGGGCTCTATGCTTGTATTGAGTTTTCAAGCAAAAACACTCCATCACCCGTTTGGTTCCCAGGCCTATCTACCCTGTAACCGACGAAGTCAATTAGTAGGTCGTTAATAGGGTCCCTTGAAAAAAGGTAGGTCTCTGTCACAGCGACACATCAGCATACATACAGCACGTCATCAGTACGCTCCATTTATTTCTGACAATGAAACAGTTTGAGTATCATTGACATTTGCACACAACTTACCGATAAAAGCTCGATAAAGGACACAAAGCGAAGGCGATATTTATCATTCACACCACGCCACTTCATTTGCACAACAAGCCTGTTAGTGAGGGAACTACAAAGTGATGTTAGGGACAAATTGTGCAACAGTTTCACCACCGACCGGAGCTATAAAAGTCAAACCATTTTCGGTATGAAACAGGTTTTTCAGCTTTAATGAGAAGCACATCGCCCCCTAATCTATTAGGAACGCAAATGAGCAGCATCGCTGGTTACTGTTAGCCGCTATTAAGAAGAATCCAAGAATGCACGTATTTCTGGGCAATTCCAGGTACACGTCGAACGCTACAAGTTTCGATTTGTCATTCGGAAGTTTACAAGCAACATGGAGTAAGACAAGAATTTTGCAAAAGTATGGTTTCACACTGGAAGCAAAGCAGAGCATAAAAACAAGAATTCTCAGTAAAAATGACCACGTCACTTACGCAGTTCAGTGGGGCTAGTGGATGCATCCGGAGCACATCCATCAGCTATTTGAACAGCATTGCAAATAATGTAATTTCACCCAGTCTAGTTCAAATTGGACGGCAACAGTAAGAATCATCATCATCATCAACAGCAGTACATCAGCCATTTGAACTGATGCTTCGCTGCCATACAACCATGAGAACCTATGAAATAAAGAAGAGGGAGAGAAGGGGGCTTACCTGAAAACCTTAATGCCCTAAGCAAACATTCAGGGTCAAGGCGCCTACACCTTGTGTAGTCAACATGCCGTCACAAACAGCTGGCTATCGTGCAAAGATAAGGCGGCATCGGCGAGACAGCTTCCTTGCGGCTTTCAGTGCCACGCGTCATAATCAGCCAGTACCCCGCAGATAACTCAGCACCAAACACACTTTAAACAGGCAATCCGATTAGATGGCAGCAAACGCGCCACTGGTGTCGGTTGCGAGCCATGTCCTGTAGTCTCGAG